ACCCAATCGAGCTGCTTTTACGATTCCTATTTAACATTACTGTTGTGCCATCTGACATCAGGAAAATGAAACCCATAGTTATCAATACTTAAAGATCAAATATTAAGCACTAAAAAAACACTCGTCTTATTTCCCATGTGATTGTAATTGATCAATAACACTCGTATTATTGTATACTTTATTTCACTTATTTTATACTTATATCAAATATTAAGCATTAGTACAAAATAAATTCAAAAATGATGTTAGTTTTTGTACGAAACTGCAAACAATCGGGGAGAAAATATGAGTGTTTCAGATATAGTCATGACATATGCTGTCTATTAACTCTTCCCACCAAAATGAAAATTACAACGGAGTTAAAAAAACATAACTATGACAAGTAATTATTATTATCATTATCTAAAACTTTATGGTATGCTCACTTGATCATTTTTAATTGGACTCAATGACTGAGTCACATCTTTACACGCTATATCAATATTCACGCTGTCTGGATTGTTAACACCATATTTCTCCAACAGTTGTTTTCTCACGCCTTCAGCTTTCGATAAATTCCTGCATGCCATGATTACCTTAGCACCACGACGGGCTAATTCACCAGCTGTAATCAAACCAATTCCTGCACTAGATCCAGTGACAATAGCCAACTTTCCATCTAATCTTTTTGATATGCAACATGATTTTGTCCATATTCCAGTAGTTTCAGACATACAATAAAGTTAATAAATTTAAAGGAATAGTATATATATACATATATATATCATCAAATAAGTAGGTTAAATATAGTCAATAAAATACATTCAATCAATCGAATCTTAGTGAATTAAAATTTGTTTATTAGTGGTCAGAGAAAATAATGTTTTGTTATAAACTCACCAACACATACGTTCACTTTAGAAGGGTAACTTGAAACCTTTTCACAAATGAATGAATAGAGCAACTTCTGAACTCTAGTACTACACATTCACAATCCCCATTTATGGGTAAATAGATAATAAAAATGTGGCGTAAAATCAACTTTTCGTCAGATAATCTAGGGATGATAATAATAATAATATTAAACTAAGGTTTATCAAAACCACTAAATTTCTGCGTCATAAATATGTCTTATTAAACACCCACTTTGGTATTTCGTTAGTATTCGTCTTCATACTATAAGTATATGTGAGGAAACATTATCGTTCTCCAATGTTGTTCTTTTCTTATGTATATTATCCCAATTAGGTTTTTAAAATGAGTTCACTTACTCCAGTCATACAAAACAAATCTTTGCATGGATTTGTACAATAAGATTGTTCGAAATCCAGCATTCAGGTGAAGTCTTTCATCTTATCTTTGTTGAAATGTATAAACACTGCCTCCAAATAAGATTTTCTGATAACAACTAGTTATGTAGAAGTTAAATGATGGATAGTGACTTGCAGTGGAACCAAGGATGCTCATTTCGTCCTATTTGGGACTCGTCATCTGGACGTACCTGCATTCCCCAGTGAGTGATCATTTTCTCACCGAGGTTTGAACCCAGTGCCCATAGTTTCAAAAGTCAAAGCGTTATCCGCTAGACCTCTTGGACCACGAGAGGCATCTCTTGTGCAACGGGTCATATTAATTTAATTGAATTTTAGATTTTCCCATCGATTGATTGACACATCAGCTGCTTGTGCAGATGCTTCGACGCTGCCTGAGCAAATAATTAGGAGTTAACTGTTGGATGGTGACTAGCAATGGAATCCAGGATGCGCACTGCCCAGACATCGTCGAAGCATCTGCACAAGACGCTGACATGTCAACCTGAGACCGAGCACTTCGGTCCAATCAATCGATGGGAAATTCTAAATTTGAATTTAACAACTAGCTATGTAATTCAAGAACGCTGATTTTTATGTCTTCTTCCATTCCTTTACGTTCCAAGCTTGAGCTCTGAAAATTCAGTAGCAATGGTATTTTTTACTGGGTGAGATAGCCAATCTCACGCCGAAAATTCCATCTTTTCACGAATTACTATCGGCTAATAAACTAGATGGAGTTTAGGAGCACGTTGGCTGTAAATCGAACCCAAACCACACACACACATGGTCGGCGAGCATTCTGCACTTGAACCACTGACTTGTATTTTGTTGTCTGCTCCTCGGTAGTAAAATAAGCGGAAAGCATTTTCCGAAATATGTTAAAAACTGTTCAGCATCTGGATCGAATTTAGAAGGTGCGAAAACAAAAATTTAAAACCTTAAGAGTTTTCAGAAGATGAATTTATTTTTATAGAATAATATGTGAATTCGAAAATAAAACTTCGGTAGTGTCACCTTTCGAACTGCAAAGAGGAGCACCGGTTCAATCAGAAGTGCCATTATTGAACATCTGATCAACACTTCCCACAACATCTCAACTGATTCATTCAAAGTAGTTTACAAAGTCAACAGAAACCTGCCAAAAGCAGTGTGTTTCCGACTTCTTTGTACTGCAGAAGCCCTCACAATATGCATCGAAAAGCTGGAGCTGTGTGTTCAAAAGAAATTAGTCCAACCTCAACAACTACCATCGACCTAGTTCGGTATGTTCCCTTAGCTTCCGTTTTTTTTCTTTCGTTCTTTTTTGATCTTTTTTTCGTTCACTGTGTGCGTGATTCTTACTCCCTTTGTCTTTATTCAACCCACCCCACTTTTCAGTTATAAGAACAGTTATTTTAAGTGTGTTTCCATGCTTTTCCTGCTCCCATTTATAATTCGTTTAAAATAACTATTTTACAATAATATCCTATTCCTGTGTAATTTTTGTTTCTAAGGCTCTTGTAATCTATATTCGCACCTCCTAAAGCCCGTTTCGCATCGGTGGCATAGCAGTTAGGACGCTCGCCGACCATGCACATGGTCCCGGGTTAGATCCCCGGCCGACGCACTCCTTTACCTCGCTAAGCCAGAAATAATGCTAGTGAAGAGGAAAGGTTGGACATGAGGCTAGCGACCCCATCCTATAAAATAAACACTGCTACAGACACTTCAAGCCACCATCTTGAAGCCCTGTGTTCCACTGGGGAATGTGGAGGAAAACAAAAAAACCTCCGTTTCAAGTTGAAAATTATTATTTCTATTTTGTGTCATTTTTTACACACTTGTAATTCGTTCTAATCCTGTGTTAATTTTGTTTCTAAGCCTCTCGTAAACCATATCCAGATGAAAATAATTGTCACCTTTTAAATTGGTCTTCGTAATTATGTGGAATCACACAAGAATTGTATCTATGTAAAATTATGTATTTAAATGTGATTGTACAGCTTTAGAAAATGAAATCGCTGGAAAGATATCTGTGCTGAACTTCGTGTTCTCCTCTTTCTAATGACCTTTCGAACTGTTGACCTTCTAATTGTTTACTGGACCACAATAATAAGTTGTTGTTTTTTCTGTGATTTACATTCACATCAGTTTACCTGACAGATACCAACACAGATAGTCCGATAATTAATGCACCATTTTACTTATTCTCTCTAATTTAGTAAAACTTCACTTGGGATACGTGAATGCAGTTTTGAAGTCATTGTGATGAATGAACAATTATCTATCATACATCGAACCGACCAGTGAATGAAATCTAGTATGATTTCAGTAAGATGAATTAATGAGTCTCATAATGCGATTAAACGGTTTATTATAAATAATATTGCGAAAATGATTTCCACTTTCCATTATAATTTCATGCTTTAACATTCGTTTTCTAAACTAAAGCTACCTAAGATAAGGACTTACTAAAATCCAATGAAAACCACTCCCAGATTGTTTTATGAATGAATGAATTGACCATATTTATGATAGTAAACTGAACTCGTAAGATCAACATAAACATGATATGCAGAAGACTAATAATGAAGTTTTAATATATGATTGAGTAATTATTTTCAATGGCAGAGTTTTCACATGAATCATACCCACTTTCAGTGAAATAGTTAAAAGTACTGCATGAAGACCTAAATAATTCCCTAACTGGAACATTCGGCACAACAGGGGTTAGAATTTTCTTATCCAAACATACAGTAGACCATGCGAAGAGGAAATGAAATCTTGCGAGCAGTCTTGCCGGCAGCTGAAATTTATGGAAGGGAACTCAGTTTGATTGAGATGTACCACTGAATCCCTGTGTTCCACTGGGGACACAAAGATAAACGAATAATAATAACAAAATCAGTTGATGATGAGTTGAATTTCATCAGCTTCGATTCTCAAGTCTGACTACGCCTCCTCAGTTGAGTAGATTTGTCGTACTATTCACTAACATAATAAATTTGCTTATACACACCACTGAATGTGATCTCTGGAATATAAAAAAGAGGAAGGCTGTATCATCAAGCGTCTCCAATAATCTTGATGTATATTTCTCAAAAAATATCATTCTTCATTAAGATGGAAAAAACGATTTGAAAGGGAATAAGAATAAGATATTTACGTACGGCCAATAAATATCAGTCCACTAGGTATCTAAGAAGAAAAATTCAAAAACAACATCTTTAGTGGAAACTTCAATAGTCTCTTGGTATTTCTGGCCTTCTTTCATTTAGTTAGCTAACACATTTGTCTCAGTTTGTGAGGTCTCTTGAACCTGATCATGTACTGCGTGAAAATTCTCTGATTACACTTCCACAGTAATATTTTGACTTTCATCTACAACTAGAAATCCATCTCGGATTCTCTTACCCCAGATAAATGTGAAATTATAGAAATAAATCAGATGAAATAAATAGCACTCATCACATCAAAATCATTGTATTTTGTTACGTGTTTATTCATTTGTGAAATTTAACAGTTTCAACTTAGATTTGTATAGATGCTTAAAATCGGTGAACTGAGATAAATACAGAGGATCAATAAAATCCTTTGAAAAGACGAAATATAATTGTGAGGGGTTCTTTTGAGCAATTTCATCAATAAATGCAAATACACCATGATGTCAGCAGTGTTAAGACATGTTTGCAGTAAAGTGAACTGGTTGTTTTTTTCTCTAAATATGTAATTCACACTGTGACACTTTACTTTTCCCGCCTACTAAATCACAGGGAGACGTGACTGAGCAATGTGATTCATATTTATAATTCTTCAGAATTTAGACTAATAGACAAAGGCTAAATGCGACTGAGGTACAATTTTTTAGCACACAGTTGCTTGTAAAAATCTATTGGAAACGTGGGTGTAAAGTACCGTAAAACTAAGAAACTGTGTGCTTTTAAACATATATAGTATCCTTTAGTCTCTAAGATTTGAAAATATCCTTTGGGTGAGTGGGGATATTATAGTGTATGACATTACACAATATAATATTGTCATAACTTCATAAAGTCACTTTGTTATAATTTTCGACTTATATAGGTCAACTATGACGCCGATTGGCATATCTTTCATTCTTATTATTCTGTATTAATTTTTTGTATAAAATACTTCAATAATTACAATGTTCCTCATCAAACAAATCTGTTATCTTTTAAGTAATAATCTCACTTCATATATTTTCAGTTTGAACTCTTATTTCCGGTTATTGAATAGTCAACAAAAATGCTGTGAATATAACGAGTAGTTCATCTTACATATGACTCTTTATTATACATTCCAAGTAAGAATTTCCACACAGGCTGAAAGCAAATAAAGAAACATTTAAAACCAAGGAGCTGTTTCGTTCTAGCTTCGGACTCATCAACACCCTACAGTGAGGACGCCA